GATCACACCGTTGATCCAGCCTGGGTGATGGGAGCAATACTTTGTCTCACAAAAAAAAAAAAAAAAAGCACCAATGGAAGCAACAACAGCCCCAAGGGAACAAAAGCAGCCCGCCCCTGGGTCGTCTCAGTGGAGGGACTTACAGTTTAGTAACAAAGCAGGGTGAGGCCTTAGCACTAAATACCAGTGATCATCACCCAAGCCCTGGGCCATCCCAGGCTGATAAAGCCTGAGAAACCAGGAGTTAGATATATTGTCTAAATCCAAACATAAATATAACGTGATTAGGCTTAAACTACACGTTATGGCACATCTCACCACCTGCTATTCTTGATCCCCTCTGAATCATATGCAAGCCCAAAGGGGCAGGGAGAAACGAAACTCTCTTGTCCCTAAGCTGAACTCTGCTTTTCACTGTCCACTTGAACTTTGAAGTGGGCTTAATAGTTTATGACTTAATCCACCTATAGCTCTAAGTACCGATGAACAGCTGAGCTGATATTTGATTCCCAACGGGAAGGTGCTGGAGATGAGAATGTCAAGTGCATGTCAACTGGTTGGGTATAAAATCTGCTTATACTAACATATGGAGTTTTATCTCTAAAATGATTTTTCTCTTCGGCATTGTGAGCTGAAGCAGTACGAATAATGAAAGGATCTGAAATGGTTATGCCTTTGAGTCTCGGCAGGAACACTCGAGCACATGCCTTCCACGTCTTACCCATGCTCTCTGGCCCTTCCTGTGGGCAGTGTCTAACTCTCCAACTCTGAATCAATCCTGTTGCTGATGCTGTCAAGACGTCCAGTCATTTAACAATTGTCCCGTGGGTTTGGGAATGAGATTCAACATGGAAGTCAGTAACTTTTAGTTTTCCAAAGTTGCTGGACACCACCCGACTGAAAAGAAATTTTAAAATGGTGACAACCAGAAGGAAAAACAAGTGCACTCACTTTACCTCCTAGACTCATTGAAGAGTTGTTAAGGTCAATAGATTTATTTTTATTTTTTAGAGATAGGGTCTTGCTCTGTCTTCCAGGCTGGAGTGCGGTGATACAATCACAGCTCACTACAACCTTGAGCTCCTGGGCTCTATCAAGTCAGCCTCTCCAGTAGCTGAGACTACAGGCACAGGTCACCCTACCTGCTAATTAAAAAAATTTTTTTGATAGAAGTAGGGTCTTTCTATGTTGCCCAGGCTGTTCTCGAACTCCTGGCCTCAAGCAATCCTCCCGCCTAGGCCTCCCAAAGTTCTGGGGAAGAATTTTCAGGCATGAGCTACCATGACCAGCTGATAGATATATTTTGGATTGAACACCATTTTTAGCCAAAATAATCTGTGAATGTTTTGAAGTAGACTTCTCTTCTTTATCCCTCTCCATCTTTTCCCTAAAAATTGTTGGCCTTGATTTTTTGGTTTTGTCATTTTGTTCACGATAAGGTGGAAATTTTGCACTAGAAATTATCATACATTTAGTTAAAAGAGTCTCTTCATCTGATTCTGGAAAAGTCTTAACATAATTGTGAATAAAATATCTTGGCTCAAAGACATTTCCGCCAGACTCCTCAGAAACTCTGTAGGCTAGTGATTAAGGCACATCACAAATATCAAAGCAGGCACGGCTCACTGAATCAGCTGTGGCAACAAACACACCATCGTGGTGAGTTCAATATGGTGAATACTTAGGGGAGGAAATAGGCATTGCATGGATGTCAACATCTACCCAGAAACCAGATTTTGCCCTGTGTGATCTTTACAGAAATCTTTAAAGCCAGTATCTTCAGCCAAAATGCTTTTGTTGTCAAAGGAACATATGGAAATAGCAGATGAAAGAACAAGACTCAAGGCCTGGCCCCCACCCTGTGATGTGCTGGAGGGTTTGCTAACCTAAGAGAAAAATCATTCAACTGGGGCATAAAATAGTGTGTTTATCTGCCAGTGTGGCCATGTTTTTTTAAAAATATATATTTTATTATAGGTTAGGTTTTGGGGTACATGTGAAGAACATGCAAGATTTTTGCCTAGGTACACATATGGCAATGTGGTTTGCTGCCTTCCTCCCCTTCACCTATATCTGGCATTTCTCCCCATGCTATCTCTCCAACTCCCCACCCGCCGCTGCGCCTTCCCTAGTTCCCTCCCACAGACCCTTGTGTCTGATGCTCCCCTCCCTGTGTCCATGTGTTCTCATTGTTCAACACCCACTTATGAGTGAGAACATGCGGTGTTTGATTTTCTGTTCTTGTGTCAGTTTGCTGAGAATGAGGGTTTCCAGGTTCATCCATGTCCCTACAAAGGATGGGAACTCATCATTTTTTTATGGCTGCATAGTATTCCATGGTGTATATGTGCCACATTTTTCCTGTCCAGTCTATCATCTTCCCTACAAAGGTGGCCCAGTCCTGAAGGCCAGGCTCTCAACTCATTCATTCATTCATCAGTTATTGACTGAGAACCAGTGATGTGCCTAGACATTCATTAAAATCTGATTGTATAATCAGAAGACAAAATACTATTCTTCCTCATGATATGGTAGAAGATGTAGACACAGAAACAGAATTATCTGTTTGGATTATATGAAATTGCCATTTTTTAACTGTCTGAAATGGTTAGTATTGGTAATTTCATGTGGTGCAAATTTTGTAATACAATTTGTTAAGCTCACTGATAGAAATATGGATGGAAATTTTTGTCTTCACCGCTGTTTGTTCGTTTCCATCTATCGTATGAACAGGATGCTTAAGCTGAGGAGTGTGGGTGGGGAGTGGGGAGGAAAGTGGCTAGGAAGCCTTGCTGGAGGACCTCACCATAAAAGCTGAAGGAGCGTGGCTCACGCCTGTAATCCCAGCACTTTGGGAGGCCGAGGTGGGTGGATCACGAGGTAAATAGATCGAGACCATCCTGGTCAACATGGTGAAACCCCGTCTCTACTAAAAATACGAAAAAATTAGCTGTGCTTGGTGGCACGTGCCTGTAGTCCCAGCTACTCGGGAAGCTGAGGCAGGAGAATTGCCTGAACCCAGGAGGTGGAGGTTGCGGTGAGCCGAGATCACGCCATTGCACTCCAGCCTGGGTAACAAGAGCGGAACTCCGTCTCAAAAAAAAAAAAAAAAGTTGAAGGAGCTGTGAAGCTGGGTGTGGTGGCATGTGTCTGTAATGCCAGTTACTCAGGAGTCTGAGGCTGGGGGATCACTTGAGCCCAGGAGTTCAAGTCCAACCTGAGCAACATAGCAAGCTGACTTCTCTTCTTTATTCTTCTCAAAAAAAAAAAAGAAAACAAAGACGAAGATGTGGACTGCAAGTGTGGGGATGTTAAGGCCTGTGTTGATGAAGCATGAAGAATCTTCTGGAACACACTGCCTTTAGAAACTTATCTGGAAGAAGACCTTGGTTGTTTAATCAGTGAACTTGCTCAGAAAAAGAACACAAGAACAGGAGTGGCACTGTCTGAAGGTGCTGAAACAGACGCCTAGGAGTGTCTAATCAACCCCTTGATTCCTTTGCTCTTACTGGCAAAGACAGAAGTATTCTACACCCTCTATTTTCCCACTTCCCATCTGAGTCCCTGGAGGTGATTCACTGACCTGTAGTTCCCATAATAGAAGGTAAAGACCTTAAATGCCTCATTGACTGTCATCTTGTGTGAGAACCTCTACTGCTTCCTGACAGTGGGGTCATCTAGTGGTTTTAACTCTTGCTTTGGGAATAGGTCTTATGCTAACAGTGGGATTTGAAGCCCTGCTCTTTTGATTCAAGGTTGATAACTTTAGGCCCATGAGCACTAACCTTGGCTGGGTTTATTGTTGGCCTCATCCTTGCAAAGTCTTTAGGTTTCATTCCTGACTTTCAAAACCTCCACTCCTAAAGCAGCTGGCTCCTCTCACCCATTAATTGGGCCCTATCCTCTGGTTCTGCTTTCTATAGTGAGTGAGTGTCTCATGTCTTAGAGAAAAGCCATTTTGAGTATCTAACACGAGAGCAGAGGGGACCAAAGCATGTTGAGTTAGACTCCAATAAGCTCTTGCAGCAGCTCAAAGTTCTCTTAAAAGTTCATTGAAAGTGTGTTACGACATCCCTGTCTAGGAATCCCTTCATGGTTCAGGCTACCAGTGGTTTTACTTTCTCAGCTGTGGCTTACCACGCAGACACTATTATAGGAGAGAAGAACAAGCTTTCAGTCTAAGAATTCATTAGAACTGGAAAGCTCATGTTCATGAAGATAAAAGTTTGTGTCCACGCAAGTATTTCTGGGCATGCATTGCCACTGAATGATGAGAAAGGACGTAGGATGGTTAAGAGGAATTGGATCCTTCAGGGATCCTCTAGAAGCCTCCCTGCATTACGAAGAAATTGGACATTATTGGACTTCATGCCTCCTCAGGTTACATCCAGTCCTATAGTCCTGCGACTTGAAAATGACTCGAAAAAGCATTTTTATGTTTTCCCCCTCAGATGCGAAATAGGGTCTTTTCTTACCAGACATCATTAAGGTTGTGTGATATATGGGTGCTATTAGTGTATGTTCCACGAAGCGTGTGCTGCTGGAACATTTTAACTCATGTACTATCCCAAACTTTTAATCATTCCGGGAGCGTCCTGCAAGCCATCCACCACTGCGGCAGTGTCTTCGTAGAAGGTGGCCCTGTGCTTTGGACAATGACGTGCTTGGAGACAGAGCTGGAGATGTTATTTGGGACCACTTTACTTGTATTTTTTCTGCTGCGCAGGAGTAAAATCACTTTCTGGGTTGGGGGAGGGAAGAACACATTTTAATACTTCATTCTTACTGTTTTAGTAAAGTCAGCCAGGAACTTGTTTTCTATGATGACAAGATGTGTCCCAAATTACCCTAAAGATGATATTGATTTTTCTATAAATAATAAGGCCAGTTGCAGGAGAACCATAACATTTCAAGTTGTTGCTTTACTGTTACTGTGTAATGTCAGTAGCTTTGGTTTTTATTTAATTTTGTGATTAACGTTTTTATTGATTTCCCTGCAGGGTAGAATTTATCAATACCGCCGGTTTCAAAGGAGCATTCAGTAATAAGGAAACATAAAAGAACTCAACTACAGAAAACTGATGCTTTATTTTAAAATTTAAGAAACTGCCACCATGCATCCCTAAGGTGTATATCTGGAACTAGTTTTGGATGGGACCACTGAAGCTTGTGGTGGAGTTAACCTCTCAGGGAAGCAGCTGGCTCATGCGCCTATGAAGCTGAGTTGAGAAATGCTTAGCTAGTCATTATTAGAAATAATATTATTTTGCCAGATGTTAATACATCATTGAGTGATTCATAGGCCATGTCACCATAAATCATGTGTACCTCTTTCTCTTCACCAGAAAAGGGCTACTCTTACATGCCAATCTTTGGAAGCCCTGACCTGTGGGTGAATTTGTGTGCATATGAGACATTGTTCTTTTCAAAGGTATTCAGAAACACAGTCCATACTGAGACTGGATCTCTGACTCAGGATGGACCCCCTCAATGATTCTAGAGTGTTTACAAAACTATACAGGAAATTGGTTTCTTGTAAAGTTAGAAAGGGCCACAGCCGGTCAAAGTCACTGAGTTATTTATTTATTTTTGAGATGGAGTTTCCCTCTTGTTGCCCAGGCTGGAGTGCAGTGGTGTGATCTTGGCTCACTGCAATCTCTGCCTCCTGGGTTCAAATGATTCTCCTGCCTCAGCCTCCAGAGTACCTGGGGTTACAGGCACCCACCACCAGGCCCAACTAATTTTTGTATGTTTAGTAGAGACAGGGTCTCACCATGGTAGGTAGGGTGGTCTTGAACTCCTGACCTCAAGTGATCCACCTGCCTTGGCGTCCCAAAATGCTGGGATTGCAGGCGTGAACCACTGCAGCCAGCCAAGTCACTCAGTTTTATATATGATCTTCTTCTCTTCCAATTCAGGCTTGAAAGTCCAACAAGATGCCTTTTTTGGGGAAATGGTATGGGGGCTAATCCTCCAAGACTGAGCTACTTTCTACTACACAGATCATCTGGTTATGTATCCTTAACACAGTTAAGATGAACGTTTCACATTTAGGTGACCTTTTACCTCATTCTCCTGACATCATCCCAGATGTACATTTTCCCAGCCTACACCATTGACTAGTGTTACTGAAACACTAGGGGTTTGGTCTAAGTACCCTTGCTTGCTGCACGGAAAGCCAATCACAGGGACAACAAGTATTGCCAGGGAAGAAGGCTCTAATTGGATGCCGCAGCCAAAGAAAACAGGAGATTAGTCTAAAGTCTGTCTTTCAGAAAGACTAAAATTTGGGGGTTTATATGTCAGGGAAGGAATGTAAAACAGGAATTAGGGAGGGGTAAGGATGCAGTCATGAGGAATGAGGGATCTGTCATCTCACTGTCTGCATGTGGTGATCTGGTGAGTTTCCTTCTCTTGTCTGAGGGTCAGTCTCCTAAGAGAGAAACTCATATGAGACATGTAAATTTTAAGTTTTAAAACTGGCAGGGTCAATTTCTATGTTTATTCAAAAACTCAGAGATATCATTTCTATGGGACAATTGGTCTGGTTTCATCAGGAAACCAACCCTTGGAGGGACACTAAAGAAGCACTTCATGACCTATAGGCAGCAGATGGCAGAGCTAGAATTAAACCCAGGCCTCTTGGCTACTGGCCCTTCCATTCACTGTACCACACTGAGGTCACATTAACCAACCAGCTCTCTTAACTTAGTGGTGCTGACTGATTAGTTTGACTGGTTTTTCTGTCTGAGTCAACTGGTGTGGTCCAATGTTGGGGCCTGGGCATCAGCCAGTCTGTTCCTACACACTGGCCCACTTGCAGCCTTCTGTATTTCTAGTAACCAGAAATGACCTTCCTTAAAGCAGGGCCTGCTTTAGCAAGGAGACAGGGCATCCTTCCGTGATGGAGAAATAAAACCAAGAACAAAGACTCCATCCAGGCAGGCTTTGCAAGTTCACCAAATTGTCATTTGTCTGCAATCAGAGAGACACAGTACACACTAATTCTGAATCCCTTGTCCTTACTCCTTAAAAATGCATTCCCTTTTGTTTATAATTCCAGCCAGTTTCTAAAAGAAGAAGACAGCATGATCTCGATGGCTCACAATCCTGAAAATATAATTGACTGTACTGCAGCCGGGGACGGAGCCAGGAAATGGAGTGAGATGGCTGCTCATCAATAAAAACATTATTGAAAAGGAGGCCCCGTCCTCTGGCTCGACGACAGTTAGCCTGCCTTTGCTTCTCCATTCTGCTTTGAGAGAAACAAAGAGAAAAGGAAAACCCCCATTTAAATCAAAGAATGAGGAGGAAATTCATGTTTGATTCTCACTTCTGGAAAATCATCCATATTTAGGTTCTCATCTGATCTTCCAGGCTGTTCACTTGAACACTGGTGCTACCAGAAGAAGTTCTATGGTGAGTGGAGCAGGCTGGGTGCATCCTGTAATCTCAGCACTTTGGGAGGCTGAGACAGGCAGATCACTTGAAGCCAGGAGTTTGAGACCAGTCTGGCCAACATGATGAAACCCCCTCTCTACTAAAAATACACAAATTAGCTGGGCGTGGTGGCGGATGCCTGTAGTTCCAGCTACTCCAGAGGCTAAGGCAGGAGAATTGCTTGAACCCTGGTGGCAGAGGTTGCAGTGAGCCGAGACCATGCCACTGCACTCCAGCCTGGGTGACAAGAGCGAAACTCCATCTCAAAAAAAAGTTCTGCTGTGAGCAGAGAAGTCCTGAGTAGCTTCTTGGCTCTGACTTCAAGGACATTCAGCCTGTTTCAGGTGCCAAGGTCAGAGCCAAGGGGTTGTCTGGAAGTCTGGTGTCATAAGAGAAAGGCCAAAAAGCAAACCAAACTGAGAGGTGACATATAAAATTTTTAATATAAAAATATTTCCCTGCCATTTTGAAATCCCTGTCTATTGATGCTATTATAATAAAATACTAAGTGATAGGACTATTGCCTGAGATTACTATTGGCCAACAACCATGAATGCCTGAATGAACTAACCATATTGTTCCTTTTACCCACCCAGAAAGACTGGAAGAGAATTGACATGGGAGGCAGGCAATGGAGAAAGGGTGTATAACCTTTGCCTGCAATCAGGAGTCTTTGGCTGCTGGGAAGTAGGTAGGAGGGAAGGTGCCAGAAACAAGCAGGGAAAGACATCAGAAGTCTGCTGATGGAAATGTTCACAGTCAGCTTGAGTCAGGAGAGTCTGCAGTTGGGTCAGCTTGACTCCCCCAAACGGGCTAAGATGGTCTTGTTTCCTGCAGCTGTTGCAAGAATCGGCAAGGTAGGAGGCCTTGGGGTTTTTGCAAAATACCCCATTCTTCTCCCAAAATACTTCTATTTTAAGACTAGGCCAAAGAAAAGGGCAGAGAGTGATGTTGCTGGGACAAGTACCAAGACAAAGAGATTTTCAGATTTCCGGGGACAAGAAGAAACCATGAGAAAGGAATTTTCCTTCAACACACACACACACACACACACACACACCCCTCCGAGTATGCATGTGTGCATGTGGTTGGCAGTGGTTACATTAATTAGCCCAGCAGCATCAGCTTTAAATTAAAACAGTTTAAAATGTAGCAGCAGCAAACACGGCACGGGGACACAGTCTTAAAATGAGCACATGAACAGAAAATGGGGAATTAGAGGCCGCAGCCATTTCAAAAAGTGAATCCAGACCATATGGAGCCGAGGACTGGAGGAGTCAGGCAAAGCTGCAAGCATCTGGGATGCTAAGAGTTTCCTCTTGTGGAGCGGAGGTGTGGAGGGGTGCAGTGGGGAGACAGGAAAAAGGGATGGTTGCCAACCCATCAACAGGTCTGGTGGCAGGGCCAGATGGCCTCTTACCAGAGGGCTCGGTTCTTGTGACAGTGGCCTTCAGACAGGAGGGGTGGAGAACAGCCCCGTGGTCTCCCCAAAGACAATGAAGAAGGAGAAACAGCCCCTGGGGCTGCTGGCTCCTGTGCCTGCCGCCTGCAGATCAGATGCCAAGGCTCCCCGGACAGGAAATGAGTGAGACTCCACGGAGAATAACTCAGAGATTCAAGAGGAAGCCATAGACTCTGGCAACAATAGGAAGAACAGAGGGTGGGGCAGAGGAAAGAGTTTGTTTGCTTAGCGTGGATCTCTTAAAGGTCGGTGATAAATGTTTGCAAAAGTTCCTGGGCTGGCTGCATGCACAGAGCTTCAGAGAATTGAAGGGATAAAGTTTCCTGTGCGTGGCACAGGGGAGCTAGGGTTGTTTAGATCAGAAGGATGGAACTGTGAACCTGGGTACTCAACAATACCTTCGACTCTCCTTTCCCCCCGGAGTAAGACAAAATGCTTGCCTTGTTTGATGATTTGGGCAAAGTTTTCAACAAGTGATGTTGGCCTTGCTGTTTGTTTATTTCTTAGCTCAGACTGAGAAGCAACAACTTGATTTCTAATTTTTTATAAAATTTACCAGATAACGACTTGGACAACTTCCCTCAGTGTCTTCTTTTTAAATTGCAAATAACTAGTTCATAGAATATTTAAAGCACTCAGCATTGTACCCAGCGCTTAAGAACTTCTCCATAATTAGTAGCTATTCTATAGCATTATTTCTATTATTACTTATTCCCATCATTTCTCATTTTTGCTGTTAAAAATACCACTCCAATATAAATATATTTCTATGTAAATTTTTGCCCATATCACTGATCTCACATGTGAATTTCTAAAATTTCTAAAAGTGGTAAACTGAGTCCAAGAATAGAAACAGATTAGAGGCTTTTGGTAACATTGCCAGATTATTTCACATCATAACTGTACCAACATCTCTCCCCACAGCCTTTGAATGAGAACACGTGGAGGATAGCCTTGGTGACACCAGGTCATGCCATTTAGATCCTTTCCACCATCAGCACATATTTACTGTGTGCTAGGTACGGTTCTGTGCACTTGAGATCCAGCCATGAGCAAAAACAAAGGTTTCCTGTCTTCAGGCACTTCACAGGCATATAAATAAATGAATACACACTGTTACAGGGTGCAATGGTTAAGTCTTGTACAGAGAAGAGGTCGGGAGAGGGGCTGGAGGGCAGGGGGATACTAATTTGGATGGGATGCTCTCTATCTAGTTGAGATAGGA